CCAAATTCTTCCATACCATAGGCATAAATATGGTGGGACTTGAGATAAAAAGACTTACCACAAGTATGGACATGGTTTTTCATGGATGCTGCCATTATTTACTAGCTACTAACATCCTACTTGTTTCTTGTTATATATTTACCTTGATATATAGATGACCTCTAGTTGTGACTATATCTAGTAATTTTATGACTCCATTAACCATAAGTTCAAAACTTGCCAGATTATATGGCTTATGTCTTAAACATTGAAACTAGGGCTTCAAATGGCATCCATTTACCTGAAATCAATTTCCAATCCAATCCACTTAAGGGTCAAATTTGGATCTAAGTACATCCAATTATATCTGATCTGTTTTCAGCCCTCATTGAAATGATTTCCAGGTAAAATGTTTTTGATGTGCCATCTCTTCTTTGTACTTATTTTGGCATTTGGTTTAATTTGTATTCATATTTTGTTTGTGCTATTGCCTCTATTAGTATTAGTGTTCTTGTTGGTCCACACATACAGAGGAAAAGTGTATTAGTTTCCCAACAAGAACTAAGGAAGATATGAGTATAAGTGTAGATGAGATAATTTGCAGGAAAAGAGAAATCTCATTCTGGCTGAACCACCTTATTCTTTAACCATAAACTTCAATAGACACCCAGAGTATGGCCTACAAACTCACCGACATTTAAGGTAGGCCACTGCTCCATTACTAAACACAGTTAAAAATCTCCCTGTGGATTCCTGTAATTTCAAAACCCTGGATTGATGGGGTTGGAGTTCCCAAAATGGGCAATGGAGTTTGGTGAACTAACTGTTCCATACCACAGTGCTGTGTAAATCAAGCTAGGCTGTCTACTCCATTACATTGCCTCCTCTTCTCTGCAACTAAGCTGACTGTCTTGCCAAGATTGGTTTCCAAGTGAAGGCCCAAAAGAAGGATACAGAACCATATCATAGCAATTAGGATACATACTTTAATCTTAGTTTCTAATCTAATTATTTCTCATCAGTTAAGACCCACATCAGTATGGATTTTGCATTTCTGGCTCAAGTGAAAATGAGGAAAATATACTCCTCTGAATTTGTTAAAAATTTTACATGAAATGATAAGATTGGAAAATTTGTTTCACTCACTTCTCTCATTCCAACCTCCCACCAGATAAAGTTTTTTTTTTTTACTCTAACCTGCCCTTAAAGTAAAGGGTCTGGTCTGTTCTGGATTTGGGACCACATGATCATCCCTAATAATTTGACACGTATACACGAGATGGGACCCACGATAGGGTGGTTCTCCCCTTAGACATGATTAAATTATGGACTATTCCCCAGCTTCCAAATCCGTGGAGCAAGAAGACAGGACCTCGGACCGCTGCATGGCTCCCGGGCCCAGAGACCCAGACGCAAGCTTTTTTTACCTATTAGAAAAGGTTCCAAATGAATGGTTGGAGTACGAGTGTAAGTGTCTTTCTCATGTGTACACATCAGGATTTCCGTTTTTGGTGCAGAAACCATCACAGAGTTTTTCTACCAGCTTCCCAATTAATAGAATCAATTCTTGACATAGCAGATTCTCCACCCAAAAACCCATTCCATTGATGGGCCTTCATCACTTTGCATAGATACCACCACCTCACATTGTCGTGTATTTATTATGATAAAGAAGATTAACTTTTCTCTGTGATTCAATAATCTTAATCTACCCATCAAAGGAAATCTGTCCAGTTAAAGAGAGAGAGAGAGAGAGAGAGAGAGAGAGAGAGGGAGGGAGGGAGATTGTAAAGGATAGGATCCATTGTTCATCAACAATGGTATACTTGCTCTTTCCCAAAGATTTTAAACGTAGTCATGTCATCTCATACTCTTGTTTGCCTCTCTACTTTATTTTCTTCCTTTTCACAATTCATAAAGTAGCTACTTTTTTTACTCTGTTCTTCATTCTTCATCCTTTCCAATATTGTCTTCATTACACAAACAATAGAAAGATGCACAGCCTCTTTCTTACATGGATGGACGGTTCTTGTTAGGCCATTCTGAGTTCCCAACCAAAACAAAATAAGCATTTATTTGGGCTTTCTCACTTTACACTCTTCAAAATGCACCCAAAATCCTTTCCCTTGTTCTCTTGGAATGAACCCATTTCTGTCCATTTTTAACTGTCACATAGGCTTCAAGCTAACAGGTTGGCTACGTATATTAAGTGGACTATCCATAAAGATCAAATAAAGCCATGGCTAACAACCCAAGTAGTGTCAAGTAAATTTTTGGCTAAATTTGATAACAACCCACAACCTCTATGAAGCCTATGAAGCAGTACTGTTAATTGCACTTTTTAGGGTTTTCAGCTAATTTTCCTTATTTCACCAGTTGTTGTGGATTATGACAATATCCCACCACTTCTATGGATTGGAGTATCTTTAACTGCACTTTTAGGGTTCCTAGCTTCTCTTCCTTCTTTCAGCTGTTTCCCATGGATTATAGGTTGAAATGATCCTTGAAAAGGTCATTACATACCATCATCATTCACAAGGAAGAAACTTTTACTAAACCCAAGTACCTAACTTTTCTGTGAGGAGAGACACCAAATTCCTACACAGCTTTGCTTGAAATGGCACACACAGGCCAACTGGACTTGAATAATTGTTTTGGTGGCATTTTGAGGTAAAATTTACTGTCATTGGTGTTCTTCCGGTCCCACCCTTAGCTGCACAAAGTTCAACTCTTGAAGTAATGGAACTAGTTTACCCTCTCTGTAATAAGCCAAAAGTGAATTAACCTGATATCATTTTCTTTTTGTCAAAAGTGTGCCTTGGACTGCTTTTGGCATGCTTTCAAAGTTAATTGATGGCATAAATCTTGTGAGTCTAATAATCGATTTTTTTAAGTTTTGAAATATGAAAACCATTGGAGTTGATTCCTTTTGGGGGGCTCAACAGTCAAAACTCATTCTGGGAACTGATTCTTTGGAACTACCGAAATTAGCTTGAGAAAAGAATCAATTTTGGTTCAAAATTACTCATTCTCATCAAGAACTGATTCTTAATATAACGGTCATCTCTCTGTTCTATCAACTTTAAGTCTTAAAGACCAACACAAATCTAATCTAACTTATCCTTTATAGGTAGACCAACTCTTCTTTAGATAGTTCTCCTTTTATTGGTTAAGCAAATGCTCAATGTCCACAGTTACCACAGTAAATGAGCCTCAGGAATTAACCAAAAGATACCACAGCTCTGATCGGATCAAACAGATGGGGAGGGACGTGGAACAATCTCCACTGTTGGGGTTGTCACTAATGCTCAACACAAGAGAAAGCTCAATTGAATAAACGGAAGTGAACTGAAGGCTTCACTCAGCTCAGCTCAGTCACATGGACTCTCTGAGCTTGTGAATATAAAGTTTAAATAGAACTGACATTTCAAATGGGCCAAGTCTAGCCAAGCTACACTTAAAGCCCATCAGTTTTCTCTGGAGTCTGGAGGATTTCTGTTTCAGCTTTCAACAATGTGGATTAGGATGGATGACATGCCCAAGCCAAATCATCCATTGCTTAGTTGGTTTAACAGCATTGGTTACACCAACGAGTTTCTAGCATTTCCGTATTCCCTAGCTCGCTGGTCATTCAGTTTCTTGCTAGCAAATCCAACCTTATGCAATGCAGAAGACTAGAACTACTGAATTCTGATTACTGTATGGAATATGTTCAACCATAAAAAATAATAATATTAGTAGAAGTAACAAAATTTCCTTCCTTTTTTCCATTTCAAGAGGACCCATCCTGTACACTCACCTTTCAACCGTTCAAAGGAGTTGATTTAGAACTTAGAATGTTGAAGAATTCATAGACAAACATGGATCAATAATTGGGAAACCATTGCCTTTGGTAACCGCTAAAGTGACTGAATCTAGTGACTAAGTGATTAAGTCATTAAGTAGGATGGGAGTTTCATCTTATTATTATGTTATCCACTGAAAGATCTTGTGGGTTGTAGATGAAATCTACTGGCCATCCAAACCAACACCCCCCCCCCACCCCACCTCCTGAGGAACCATAGAATAAAAAATAAGTTTGCAAATGGTATCTGTTTATCTGAATTCAAATTCAATTTAAATCTAGTTGAAGGTTATAATAGTATTGAATATGGATCCACTCCTAGGGGTCATTACTTGGTGCAATAGTAGGACTGGCAAGTCTAAGACAAAGGTTCAAGCCTGAGGTCAGCCACTTCATGCGCAAAAAAAATAAATAAATAAAAGGAAAGGAAAGGAAAAAAAAATTAAGACATAAAACTATAGAATAGCTGGGGCCAACATTGTGTAATTGTCTGATTCAATCCAATTATAGATATTCATAATTTATATTGTATCAATGTATGACTATCAGTAAACTTGGGTTTGAATGGTATTTTCATTATAGGCATAGCTTCCAGTTTCATACAAGTTAGATTCAATTCATTTTGTTCAAGATATGATATGAAAATAATTTTTTCTTCATCTCATTAATTATATACAATATCCTCACGAGTTTAATTTATTAATACCATTCAATATCCGAATTCAATCCAAATATAAAGGATATGATTCAATATGAATCCAAATACTAATGAATCAATTTTGGATTTCGGTACATCTAAATCCCATCTATCCGTCTGCAACCCTAAATAAAAAAGAGTTTGATTATACTAACATCTAATTATTTAATCAGGCTTGCAGCCATGAGTTCCACTGTAAAATCTATTGCTACGAATTGTAGGACCATTTCCAAGTTACAGACCATCTAGAACTAAAAAGGTGTCCAAAAGCTGGACAACTAATTGAACAGCCAGCACATGGACCTATTCACACAAGTCATCTGAGAAAAGAATAAGCTTTTGCTTTTGAACGTCTGGCTATGGGAAACAAAAATGAGCCAGAAAGTGTTCTGCGCGTTTGATAAGAATTACTTCTTAAAGTTGGGGCTTTGTGCTTTTGGGTTAGTACAATTCCTGAAGTTTATCCCAACACAACCTAAATTACTGCAAGACCATGCTTCTGGCCTTGAACTTGCCTGATAAATAAAAATACAAGAGAATAAATGAATTATCGAGTGATGACTTACAAATTAGCAGTTATAGCTCGTTTTTCTTCAATATTAGATTCGGCTACATACAAAGCATCCATAACCTTATCAGATGAAAGATGGTGATATGGACCATACAATTTGGAAGAAATTTTGGAATTAGACTTCTGAGTTCCAGTTCCTCTACCCAAACTATGAAATTCTTGATTGCCCACTTCCTCCCTTGATTCCACTACTTCAGACTTCAGACTAACACCAACCTCTTGGGCCTGATCTGCAAATAATACTTGAGAAATGGAAGATCTACAAATCTCTTTATAAACCTCATAAGTGGCAGCACCAGTCTTCCCACCTTCCAATAGCTTAGAGAGAGGGTGCAAAATCGAGATTGGATCATTATTTCTTTCCAACGTTTCCTTCAAGACAAGGAAATCAAACACAAATTCTTCTTTGTTAAACTGAATAAATGCGGCAGTTTTGTCCAAGTAGTAGATGGAGGTGACAGAACCTGGACCAAATACTTTAGTGACACACTCTCTTAACTCTCCTGGCTTGAGCTTGGAAGGGAATCCCCAGATTAAGACAATATTTGAAAAGACAATCTTCGGGTATCGTCGTATGTGGTTATGAGAAACAAAAGATTGTGAGGAAATGTCTCTACTGCTCAGATTGATGACATCTCCATTGTTCCAGCTGAGGTATAGAAGGTTTATATGCTTCTGGAGCTTCTCACTGTTAACCAATTCTGTGGGCAGGGAAAGGACCTGGAAGTTAATATCTAGATGCCTGCAAACCTGGGCAAAGACGCACCCAGTCATAAAAGCATCATAGCCAGCTTCATGCTTGGCACCAGAATTCCAGTTGGAGGACCTGCAGAAGAATACACTCTACAAATGACTTTCATCATTACGTAATCCTGTGATGCTTGTGGTAATACATTAATACTACTTTGAATTCATTACTGTCTCAATGCTTTGAAAGTCGGTGTTTAAACCTCCAATAGTACCAACAAATCCACTACAGATCAAATGAAACAATAAAATAAAGACTGCTAAGGAAATTGAGCAATAAATCATGTAGTCATAGTCTGCCATTAATGAGAATAATTATAAACTAATGTCTAGTGGGAAGTTTATACAAGATTGTAAAGATCCTCCGATAATAAGGTTGAGGAAAGTTCTACTTCTACCATCATTGGTCTCTCGAAACCAAGGTGCGTTTACAAGTTGAAAACAAATTGTGGACCAAATTTTTATTACAAACTTGATCAAAATTTTGATTACAAATGAGTTGTGGAAGAAAAAACGAGGAAAAGGGCTTATTTACAATCCTCCCAGAACCTGACCTTGGTTCCCCTCCCCACTTCAAACTTAATTTCTTTACTGAAAAAACTGTAGCTTTTCTCAATTCCTTTCCAAACTGAGCAGTCATATGACTGTAGCTCTTTTCCACAAAAAAAAAAAAAAAAAAAAAACTCATTGATCATACTTCCAAAACCACTTGCCAAGCAATGCTAAATTCAGTTCTCTTAGTCTTCTTATACTCAAACCCCCATTCTTCTTTTGTTTACACCCCTTTCCCCAATTTATCAAATGAACTTTTCTACCATCCTTTCATCCTCTCTAATAAAAACTCTTCATTCTTTTCTTGATTGCCAAAGCCATCCCTGCTGGAATTGAATAAAGTGATAATAAATAAACAGGTAAAGATAGAACACTTTTTATTAAAGTGAATTTACCCCCATTCGATAGGCATCTTTCTTTCCACCCAGCCAGCCTTTTCTCTATCCTCTCCATAATAGGTTCCCAAATAGACTTAGCATTGCATTTGGCCCTCAAGGGCATTCCCAGGTACTTTGTTGGGAATTTACTAAATCCCCATAAATTTTCCCAAAGCTGCAAATCTTGCACCTCAACTATTGCTACCAGCTCACTTTTGTGGACATTATTCAGATGCAGTCCAAAAACTACTTTGAAAAGGCGTATGATTTGGTGGATTGATCTTACCTTTTAGAGGAATTGAGAGCTTATAGATTTGGTTAAAGATGGGTGTAGATGAATAAAGAGGTGCACTTGTTACTAAACAATTTTGATTAATGGGGTTGCAAGAAATTTTTTCCAGATAAAAGGGGATTGAGACAAAGAAACCCACTTTCTCCATTTTTGTTCACCTTGGTGGCTGACATTTTGAGTAGGTCTATAACAAAAGCTTATCTTTATAGGGAGAATAGATGTTGGAGAGTGGGGAAGTAGGAGATTTTACACACCTTCAATTTGTAGATGGCTTAATCCTTTTTTCCAAACAAAGGAATGAAAACTATCTTAGGAGCTTGAAGGAATTACTCTCTCTATTTGAAAAGATCTCTAACTTGAGAGTGAACCTAAGGAAAAGTAGAATGGAAGGAATTAATATGCAAGATGATGAGTTGACACATTGTGCAAACGTATTGGGTTGTGAAGTTAAATCCTGGACAGTGCAGTACCTTGGGCTTCCCCTAGGTGACAACCCAAGGACAGAAGGGTTTTGGAAACCAATGTTGGAAACGTTTGCAAAAAAGTTGGCTTTATAGAAAAGGAACTATGTTTCACTTGGAGGAAGGATAACTTTGATTAAATCCACAATGGCCAACTTACCCATTTACTTCCTTTCCACTTTTCAAATCCTAGTTAAGGTGGCAAAAAAGTTAGAAAAAATACACGAGGGATGTTATATATGGGAATCAGGGGATGAAAGGAAAGACCACCTAGTCAAGTGGGAAGTAGTGTGTAGGGCCAAGGAGCAATGTGGGTTGGGGATAGGAAATTTGCTACAGAGGGATACTGCTTTGCTTGGAAAATGGTTGTGGTGTTTGCCACTAGAAAGGAATAGGCTCTAGCATAAGGTTATTATTAGTATTAAAAGGGCTTCAGATGATGGCTGGGATGATAAAGTGGATCCTACTTTGTCAGCAACAGCAAGTTCTCCTTGGAAATCCATCTACAACGTTCTTCCTTCATTCCTATGTTTTATCAGGTATGACATGGGTGGTGGGTATAAGGTTCTTTTCTTAGAAGACATCTGGTCGGATAATTCTACTCTCAATGAACAATTTTCTTTGTTGTATTCTTTGTCAAACTATAAGATGAAACCCATCTGGGTTGGTCACCTCCTCATCTGGGTTGGATACTTGGATTGGGACTTTGAGTTTAGAAGGAATCTTAGAGAAAATGAAATGCAACTCCTTAATTGTCCTTTTCACCAAACTTGAGTCTATGTTCCTGGATAGACAGGTTGATGATATCATGATAGTAGGATTTGGTTTGGCAGCTCCCACAGGTTTGTGTTCTTGAGCTTCTTTTTTCAGCTTTCAAGTTCAATCAAAAAGTTAGGAGACGAACTTCCTACTGAAAGAAATTTGGAGTAGACCTGTCTCTCCTAAGATTCAAGCCTTTTATTGGGAAATGGTTGAGTAAGATTAATACATGTGATTTGCTGAGAAAAAAAAAAGCCTTTTTTATACCTTTCTCCTCATATATGTTCTCTTTAAAAAGCAAGTGGTGGGACTATTCCCTATTTACTAATCTACTGTACCTCTGTAAATTGTGTTTGGATGTAGCAGGGTTATTTAGCCCAAATTTTCTGAAACAGTCTAAAAAAAGAGGCAGAGTTTTGTGGAAGGCAGCAAGGGCATTAGTTCTATGGGAAATATGGGAAGAAAGGAATTAAAGAATTTTGAAAGAAAAAATCAATACTATAGGAGAAATAGTGGAGAATATAAAGATAAATGTTGCAAACTGAGTGAAAAGCTATCAAAGCTTTGTTTGGGGAATGGTGGCTACATCTTCTAAGGTGAAGGACAAGGTTGCGATGGAATGGAAACCACCAACAAATCCAGGAAGGAAGTTAAACTTTGATGGCAGCTCATTAGGCAATCCAGGACCAACAGGAATTGGAGGTGTAATTAGAGATCCAACAAAAGCTATCAAAGCTTTGTTTTCATGCCCCATTGGCACAGGTGTTCTGTTAATGGCGCTACTGCAAGGATTACGCTTAGCTAAGAAAATTGGAATCAAAAACTTGGAGGTGGAGGGGGATGCTAATGAGGTCGTTTCTTGGTTGAGCAGCAGTATTCCAGGAGCCTAGGCTTGTAGGCAGACATTAAGGGAAATTCATCTTTAGCCAAGGAAGTGGGAGCTACTTTCAACTAGGTTAGAAGAAGAGCAAATGGAGGGCAGATTATTTGTCTAAACAGAATGGTTCATTGGGAACAAATGCTTTTGGCTGAATTGTAATTGGGCTGTTTGGGAATCATTCTGGGTGAATAGATTCTTGTACAGTTCATTGTAATTTCTTTAATAATGAACTTGATGTACAAGTAAAGCTGCTTTTCAACCTCTTCTCTAGGTTGGATCTAGAGTAATGTTTTACATTTGATACACCCAATGCAAGAATAATTTTCACTCTACCAAGAGCATAAAAGTAAGATTAGAAAGACTAAATTCAAAGCAAGTGAGGTGCTATTTGTGCAAGAAAAGGAAGTGTAATGCAAAATTGTAATTGATGCTTCCAATTAGATATTGCAGTGTTGAAATCCTAATAGAGAGAGATGGAGGGCAAACCTCATTTCGTCCACTTGAACCTCAACTTTCACAAAGGGGTGAGAAGCCAAAGCAGAACTTCTGGAAGCGAAAGCAATCTGTGGACATAAAAGGGAAAAGGCTGAAGATAATGATGTGCTTTTCTTCTTCATCAGATGCTGAATTACACTTTCAACATTCAAGAGGTGCTTTGTGTCAATGATGTATGGGAAGTTCTCATGAACAGAGGATACAAACTCTTCTACAGTTGCAGGAAGTGGACCAAAAAATTTGTTGTATATATGTGCAATATCTGCATCCAATAAATGAAACCTGTGAGGACATTCTAATAAGATATGAGCAACACAAATAAGTAAATACATAGGATTTGACAAGAACATATACCTAAGAAACAATTGTGACCAACAAGCAGCTTCTTCTCCGAGGAAAGGAGATCGATAACTTGGCGAAAGCCTAATGCATTTTTAACCTTTCTCTCTTTTTGCTCAAAAAACTCGTCTTTTAAATGTTTCTGCAGACAGGATCAACAAGATACACAGAAAGACCCTGCTTCAATAAATTGCTGGAAGTTTTGCTCTCAGAAAGTAGTGGTTTTTGTTTCTAATTTTGATTGCAATGCCATTCACTCATTAGAAACCCCATTCTCTCACACAATGAGCAAAAAATATATGCTTCTCACTATACAGATTAATATTTTATTTCACCTTTTTTGCTCTGTTTTTCTTTGGTACATTTCTTTCTCTATGTTTTTTTTTTATTTTCCCAAATGTCTGTCACCCTTATTCCATAATTTCCATTTTCTCTTGAGAAAATCATGAAATGTAAAACTAAACTTCAAATGGATAAAACCAACTAGACTGATGAGATACCCACAAAATATGTACTACACCAGACCAGATTGAAACACACTTTGGTCATGTTTCAAATTACAATGGCATTTCATATCACAACAGCACCTTAAAAAATAACATTTAAATAACTCTGGTGCTGGCAATTCATTACATTTTAAGCATCACTTCCTTACCAATAGCAAATCCTTATCATCCTCAGAATCTGTGTACACTACTAGTTTTTGTTCAGAGGAGTCGTCTCCATACACACGAACATAAGCAAGATCTTTGAAATGCTTTCTTATGACCTGCATATTTCAAGCCCATCACCTTAGTAACAGTCAACATCATAACTTCAGCTAGTATATAAGTTTTTCAAGACAGAGAGTTTGATCCAGGAGAAGAAATATAGAAGAAATCTCCAGCAAGAACTTGCTATCCCAAACATTTTCTTGATCATTGGCCTGCAAATTGGGTCAGAAGTTGGGCAATTTATTTAAAGTGATTATGAAGCTACAGACTTGATCTTCATTTGGACCTCTGATAGACCTACTATTGGGCTTACACTGGTCCATGTTGAGGTAGCTTATGTTTCTTAAAAAGTCAAGTATTGTAAATATGTAATAGCTGTTTGTGAGCCCCATCTGGAATCACAACTTAAAACATTCAAAAGATTTGATTATTAGTGGAATACTTGGAAGTAGATTTCATTTCGGATAGTTAATTTTTACCTGTAAGTTAGGTTAGGAAGGAAATGACTGTAATAGGGTAATAAAAGGGAAGAGATAATTGTTAGAAGTATAAAGCATACAAGTGTTTGTATGTTTTGAATCAGATTTGTTCCTTTTGAGTGCAGAATTTCTACTTATCCCTCCATGACCTGTTTTGGTCAAGCATTAAAAGATTGCATTGGAATCAGTGAATCACCTATTGCTACATTACAGTTTTTCATGCAAAATTTGGTCTAAAATGTGGAATTTGTTTGAAGTCAAGAGTCCAAGGTCAGTGAGGGAGTTTATAAAAGGTTGAAGGGTTGAATTGAAGGACCAAGCAAAAGAGGAATATATATTGGCTTGGAACATGATCCCTGCTGTTATCTATCAAAAAAAAACATGATCCGTGCTGTGGTTTTCTGGTGTTTGTGGCAGGAGAGAAATGCAAGAATGTTCAAGAAAGAACAAATACAGCTCGACTGAAACAGTTTTTCAGAAGGTGTTTTCATGGCTGGTTACACAAACGATTTTAGAACATAGATTATATTTCCTTTTTGTATATGTTAATCTTTCTGTAAATCAGGGCTTTGGGGGGTTAGTGCTGCAAGGGTAGCTTTTTGTATAGCCTCTGAATTAATTGCAGGTGAAAACCAGCACCATAACACCCCATTCCCCACCTAGCTACTGCATTCTGATCTTTATTTCAGATCCCTACTCACGGCCCCCATTTAATTTTCCCCCTCCATAACCAACAATTAAAAGAGCTTTGTTAAGATCATTTTGGAAGAAAGAGATCCCTGCTATTAAAAGATACTAATAGCAGAGAAGAATACAATACAGCAAATAAACAAGCATCAAGTACTTTTTGCCCTCATTTTATCACCATCACCATCTCAACATTCCATGATCAGCCCTTGAACAAACATCAATTTTGTTCATTTTCCTCTAATTGATCTGGTACATCTCCAACCATTTACAAACCTATCCCATTCATTCCCTTGCCACAATCCAAGCTTCCACCTCCTTAACCATAGCAGCATCATGGCATCATGACCAAGTGACCTATCATTAACTTTCTAGTGTGCTTTTATTTTCAAGTTTTTCAATGAAGCCATCCCTTTGATAATTAGACTGCAGAAACCGCAACGCCTGTCCAGTAATAAATATTCAAGTATCTATGTATCATATATGTATACCGGCACAAGTATTCAAGACTAGAGGTAGTGTCTGTAGTAGGTGGATGGGGATTTGAAGTTAGCATTTCTGTTGGAGGGGTTTTTTTAGATAAATAAAAAATAAAAAAAAAAAAATACAAGCACTTGTCTGTCTTTGCTTTTGTGATGCTTTGCTAAGTAGTTGGAGTGATTAGTTTATATGGAGGTGCTGCCTTAGCAGTTAGCACCTGTGTGTCAGTTGTAATCAGACTTTTTTTTATTCTTTTTTACTATCAAAAAAATATGCCAGCACAATTCAATATCTATTTGGCAACTTGACCTAGTCCATTAACATTCATAGAATATTTCTTAAAATGATTCAACATGAACAAAGAAGAAAACTTGTGAATATCTAAATGTATCTAGCTGGCAAAATGAGTTTGTTTTCAAAGGCTATTGATTGAAGTCAGGAACACTTAGGCTTTTGACTTCAACATATAATCAAATCATGTCAGGGTCACTTTGGCAACTTTACTTAGTCCATTAATATTCATAGAATATTTCTTGAAATAATTCCAGATGAACAAATAAGAAAACTTGTGAATTTCTAAAAGTATCTAGCTGGAAAATTGAGTTTGTTGAAAGGCTATTGACCGAAGTCAGGTCACTTGGACCTTTGACTTCAACATACAATCAAATCATGTAAAGGGACTTAAGAAGCATCAATAAGAAAAGCCACCATATCATTTCAACATTTCTCTGTAGCCCAATGTAAAAGTAGAGGAGTTTCAGTCTATTCAAAATTAAGAATACTGCATGAGAAATCGTTCAATTGCTTCTCTACATTTCAATTGATATAAAATATAAGCTTAGAACTGAATGATTACATTTTTTGTTGATAAATGAGAGTAGTTTTATTAATTCACTGAATGATTACATTTCAGAACTGGAATTATCATAAACAAAACCTCCACCAGACTCCATCAGTCCATTGGATAAAACACACTGTTAATACCAAATTGAAATCTGAAGCAGAGACAAATGAAAGAGGAAGAAGTAGAAGAATACCAGCTGAATCAATCTCAATTGATGAGAAGTGAATCCATTCAATGTAAGAGCTGGGCGCATCTTGAAGAACACTGTCTGAAGTTGTTGTTTTGAATCCTTTATCTGCCCCTCCAGTTGAGATTGCCTAGTTGTGCTGCATAATAACCCATCACGCCATTCACTGAATCTGTTCTTCATCCGCTCAGTGAACAGAATATCTGCAGTTCTGACCAATGGTATGTCTTTGAAATCCTCCAAGTGAGATCCTGAATTAGATATCTCACCACCATGTGCCAAATTCAAGCAACGCAATGATTCAGCTTCTTGTGCTCTGGATAAATAAGATATTCCTGGGATTACCCAAGATAGTAAATTCTTGAAAAGGTTGTGTTATATAAAGAGATAGTGAAATAAGAAGGTAAATCAAACCCATATATAATCTCTTAAGTATACTTCTTTTTTGCATAATTTCCCCATCATTGTAAACCATTCTAAAGAATTAGACTGATCCACATCAATGCATTCCACACCCATTTGAAGTGCCCAGTCAATTATGTACAATAGATAATTATTTAGGCATAGTTATATGCCCAATAGCTTCTCACCCATTCAAGCATACAAGGTGAGGAAAAGGAAGAGAACAAAGACCTATTCCATGTAAATTGTATCTTGGGATCATGTAACATTCACGTATGGCAATTCAAAACCAAATAACAACCCTTTTTGATCATATAATCATCACCTTCATGGTTATCCCAAGTACTCAACCAAAGCAATAAAGTTAATATGCTGCATGGAAAACAAAAAACTACCTTCATGTATACAGGCATTGAAATCGAATTGATGCTTAGCCAAGAAGTCAATTGAGGATGTCTGGCAGAGGAACTCATAAGCTGGACCATCAACCGTAAGCTCTTTGCGAGGAAATATATAAAAGTTATGCCTGCTAAGCAACCCCAGCATCAATATCATTATATTACACTGGAGGAATAAGACAAATGGTTCAAATGTAAATCTGTTACAGTGCTAAATGTTAAAGTGCTTGGCTTGACGCTTTCCATCAGTCTTAAGGCTTTAAGGCTTTTGGCGTATTGGTCAAGCACACAACAAAATTATTCTATCATAATCAATTTTAGGACAGACATAAGAACGATATAATACTTCAACTAATACAAACAATAGTTTAATCCATCCAAGTTCCACTTTTTTTTTTTTGTCGTTGGTTTTATTAATAAAAATGAGAAATTTTACAGGTAAGATGGTAAGAACAAGCACGAGTTAGGAAACTTTAGAATTGTCATCACACTAAAATCAAACAAGCCAACAATCTAGAGAAAGAGATGAAAGAACCTACGGATGAGCAACAAATGATTCCTTGGAAGCATCCCAACGAAAGGGGCAAACGCCGAACTGAACGACGGCAAACTTCTCGGCAGAGTCCTTCACTTTGAGGTACCGGACATCGAAGCGGTCGAATTCGAAGGAGTCCCGCCACGGCGCGCTGGTAACTCCAGTCATTTCGAGGTCGAAGGAGACAAAGTCAGCGTCTCGGACATGGCGACGGAGATCTTCGAGTGCGGACTCGAAGTTGGTTTTCGTGACTTTCTTCACAGAGAAGGTCGATGGTGTTGCAGAGGAAAATGGCCGAGTGAGGAGATAAGTGGAGCGGACTAGGGTTAGGGCTTCTGAAAATGCCCTAACCAGCGCTGGCTTCTTCATTCTCTGCTGCTCATCTCCTCTTCATTCACTCTCTCTCTCTCTCTGTCCTGAGAGATCAAAGTGAAGGGAACAGAGGGTAGCAACTCTTGCAGACTCCCGCTTGTTCGACGAGAGAGGTGACTAGGGATCTTTCTAATGTGCGCGCCCGGCGTGATTCGCGATTTTGGTTTTAGTTCCAGCAACTGGGGTCGGGACCGGACCGGTTCGTGATAAACCAGTTAAAAATGGAGTCGACTAACTGTTTGGTTGGTAAGGTGGTATTCGCCTCTCGGACGAGTCACTTTTGCTACGACAGTGCTAAAACAAACAATCAACGCTTTTGATTTTCTTTTTTTTTTTTTTTGGGGTAAATTACAAAGACCCCCTCGTATTATGGGGTTTGTGATAAAGACCCCCTATACTTTATTCTGCGACAAAGATTCCCCTGTAGTATGACCGTGAGACAAACTTCTGTTAGATTTTCTTGAAATCCGCCATCACAGTATTTTTTTAATCTCCATATTACCCTTATAATAACTATTAATTAGGAGAAAAACACTATTTATCTTCCCGGACCTCATAATACACGAACAGAAACGGTGGTAACTGTTGCAGCGGCGACGACTTCCGTTGAAGTCCTCCTTCTCTCTTTCTCTCTCCCCCGATCTCTCTTCTTCCTCTTCCCCTTTCTTCTTTTTAATTTCCTCTATTTTCCGTTCCTTACAGATGGAGAATAGACACTAGAAGGATGGAAAACACAGTAATTTGGTGTTTGCTTACATCATTCCTCCATTTCTCTCTTTTATCTCCCTCTTTCTCATCTTTACCAAAAGTACAACTACTGCTCCTCACTTTCTCTCTTCTCTTTTTCTTTCTCACCGCATTGGCTTGTTTTCTGATTGAAAGAGCTAAAAAAAGTAAAGCCTTTCTCTGAAAATTGGTGTTGTAAACATCTACCATGAACAGCAGGGAGATTCCAGATACTTTGGTTTGGTTGTGATGATTGCAGAGAAGCAGATAATGAGAATTGGGGGAAGGCGAGGGATACCAAGAAGAGATAGGAGAGAGAAGGAGATTGGGCCCTTCAAAGCCTGCAACAGAAATGAGTGGCGCTGCACCCAGAATAATGTTTTTCCTTATCTGCTTGTTTTTACACTCTTTTATGGCTCTTCATCTCTCTATCTTAAGTAATAAATCCATGGATCTCTACTTCTCTGCTCAAGACTCTTTGGCTTTTTAACTCTTTTCGTTTTAATGGTTCTTCTGAGTTGGAATTCTTTTGTCCGCAAGACCCATTGATGCATCAAGCTTAACATTTTGTTGGTTGTCTGAGAGAGAAAGATGATCATATGTAGTTTTGAGTTCCGAGGGCATAATCCATTTTCTATTTAATCAATCGTCAATAGCCAAGCAAGTATGGCAACAGGCAAGTAAGTAAAATGGCATAATCCATTTTCGGTTTCTAGTTAGATTTCACGCTTCTCTTTCTCCTTCATCCATCGTCCAACAACCAAGTATGGCAACCGGAGAAGACGTGGTGGTATCTCCACTTGTTCAGGCATTGCTTGACAAGTTGTGCTCCAATTTGTTGGTTGACTTTGGGTTGAATTGGGACGTTGAAGATGAACTGAGAGACCTCTGCAAAATACTCTAACTGATTTATCAAATATAGCTTGTGTTGCAGAGGAGATGCAAATGAAAGATACATGCTTGAAGATTTTCCTTAGAGAAATCAGGGATGTGGTTTATAGAGCCACTTATACCATGGACGAGTTCATTTATGAATCTCACCGACAGTGTCTCGAAGACGAGAGCAATCTTAAACATTTATAGGACTGGGTCGGGGAGAAAGGTACGCGAATATATCAACTTTTCTTTCAACAAGCAACAAATATTGCATAAATATGACCCAGAAACGCTGGGGAAGAAGAAAGAAGAGAGACGGGGGAGAGAGAGAGAGAGAGAGGGAGGACTTCAACTGAAGTCCGCTGCCGCTGCAACAGCTATCACCACCGCTGTTTATAGGGGGGTCTTTGTTGCAAAACAAACTGCATGGGGGTCTTTCAAACGTGTTACTGCAATATCTAAACTTTTAAAAAGTGTTTAAGTTGGTCCCTACCATAACTAACCTAACCTAACCGTTAGTTATGTGATCGCATGATGACATGTGCAACTTAAAAATTTTTTAAATGTCAAAACTACCCTTCAAAAGAGGGTTAAAATGGGACCCAACCCAAACCAGCCAACAGGGAAGAAACTAAGCTTTTGTGTTAGCTCAGAGCCTCAAACCTGACTCCAGAGACAGAGACTGTTCATATGCTCTCAAGAAAAACAATGAAAAAGAACGATTTCTATGTGGCTTCAAAATGTCACATGAAAAAGAATGATTCTGTTTATTTGTAGTAAATTAATTTTTTAAATTTATAAGTAGAGCTCGAAAAGCCTGCCCATATTCTATGATTCATGATCTGGAAGCAACCGATTCTAGTGATTAGTTCTGAAACCTTTGAAATGGAAATTTTGTCTAGCTTAATGACCCAAAGTATTTCTACGGTACGATTCCAATGATTAGTTTTGGAACCTTTGAAATGGAATTTTTGTCTAGCTTAATCACCCAAAGTAGATTTCTACCGGTCTTAGATTGGGATTTGTCTAGGAAAGATTCATTCCAAAAATTCTGTCATCTTGTAAGGTTTGAGAGTTTGAGAGCTAGAGGCAAGGAATGTGAGAGAGGGGAGGGGAAAACAAGAATGAGAGGGTCTGTGTTAATGGTGTCCGAAGAAGAAGAAATGGTGAAGAAACAAAATAATTTCTTGCAAAAATAAGAGTTTCTTGCAATTGTTAATGGCATCTTTCCAGTCTCTTTGGTTGAGATTCCTCCTTCGTTTGAACTAGGTTTTGGCTTGCCTATTTTTCACTTTTTTCTTTTTTGATTTGTTTCTGTTTCCAGCGGTGTTGGACTGTGATTCTAAGCATCACTACAGGAAAAGGTAATCTAGAGAGAACTAGGAGAGGCATTCAAATACCAATCATAAGAAAATTAGATGATAGGTGAACGGTATTTTTGTCATTTTACATGATACTTAACATGTGTTTATGGTTTTGGACCAACTTGACACTTTTTGAAAGTTTGGATACTATAGTGACACATTTGAAAGTTCGGGTACTAACTTGACACTACCCCCAAAGTTCAGGGTACTAAAGTGGAATTTTCCCTTTTTTCTATAGGAACTACACAAGATGGGGGTAGCTCTTCCCCACAAAATAAAACAACAAATAAAACCAAGATCAAAAGGAATACAACTAGGAAGGGTCGAACAACCAATAAGAGCGCTCCGGACCAGCCAATTTGTAGCTTGATTCGCCTCGCGATGCGCATGACTGAAGTTGATGTTCAAATTGGACCTACCTTAAAAGTTGATACACTCATTGGTGATGCTTTCCAATCTCCATGGGAGCTTCACCTTTTCCCCTAAGGCAGTCAATCACAAGCTTCGAATCTCCTTCAATGATGATATGGAAATCCCTATAATTAGCCACAATCTTGATTGCTTCCCATGCCGCCTAGGCTTCAACAAGATTTATCAAAGTAGTGCCAATGTTGTAGACCTTTAAGTCAAGAGCAAATCCTTGGTGATTTCTGACAATACAACCTATCGTACACCATCCATCCAACTAACAAATGGCATCAAAGATGATTTTAATGGAATTGAAGGAGGGGAGAACCCAACCAATGAACTTCCATTCTTTAGCACTAGAATGGTCTTCTGAAAGGGAGTTATTCTTTACCTCAAACCAGTAACTAAATGATTTATCAATTATACTCTGAGGATGAGCTGATTTATAATTGGAACACTTTTCATTTCTATTTTTCCATATCAACCAGAGAATGCATGCTATTTTTTTCTCTCAAAAATTTATCATTAAATGATAAATGATTCTTTGAAATTCTAGTCCACCAAAAAATAACCGAAGCTTCACTAGCATTAGGAACATGTAGGCAAGTACTAACTCGACTCCAAATCTGCTTAGTGAGATCACATGTGATGAAGATGTGATCAATACTCTCCTCCTCCCCATAATGAGTACACTACGGACCAATATTAAAGCCACGAGCAATCAGTTTACTTTTTGTGTGCAGCTTATTATTAAGGAGGGGGAAGAGAAACACTTTGATTTTTTGTGGGATCTTAAGCCTCCAAATACATTGAGAGACATTATTTGTCACCTCAGAACCACCATTGTGTCTACATTCCTTAACATAAGTAGATTTAATAGAGAAATTCCCATATGGATTAAATTTCCAAACCATCTTATCCACCATATGGGAAAAAGGGATTAAAATAGTCCTAATACGTTGCCAAATATGCAAGGGGGTCATGGATCTGATGACGTCTTCCTTCCAAACTTTCCTATCTTGATTAATAACTCTACTAACTAGCATTTCCAGTTCAACAATTGACTCCGAATTAACTTCTTCTAGAATCGAAGAATTATTCACCAAGTATCTTTCCAAAACATGACCAAATCACCATCTCTAATTCTCCAACTTAAACCTCTTTTAATGAGGTCCCTAGAGGCCAAAACACCTCTCCAAGCCCAAGAAACACCCTTCTTTGGATCAACATCCCAGAAGTTCTTTGAATTTAAATATTTTCAAGTGACCACTTTTACCCACAGGTTCTCTTTACAAGTTAGAATCTTCCAACCTAACTTAGTCAGGACGGCCTTGTTGATCCACTTGAGATTTTTAAGACCCAACCCACCATAAGATCTGGGGGTACAAACTCTATTCCACTTAGCCAAATGGATAAGGTGCTAACTTCTAGAATTCGACCAAACAAAATCTCTTTGGACTTTCTCCAAACCATCTATGACATTATTTAGAATTTTAAAAGATTGCATAACAAATTGAGAAATCATAAAAGCAGTAGAGCTAATAAGAGTGAGCTTTCTGCAAGAGATATATTATTTCTTTTCCATCCTATAAGCTTCTTGGCCATTTTTTTTCATCAAGGAAATTAAAAACCTCCTTAGAAATCTTCCCATCAATAACGGGAGCTCCAAGATAAATTTTATTTTTAACTTCAAGGGGGATTTTGAGAATCTTGGACATAATTTTTTGATGCCTTTCAAGAATATTCTTAGAGAAAGAAATAGTTGATTTTGAATAATTTGGAAGTTGGCCAGAAGCATCTACAAATTTGTCAAGATTTTCCTTGACATTCAAGCAAG